GTGAAGTTTGTTATAATAACGATCGCGTGTGGGTTCCAGGGAGGTGAAGGGCAGCCCCTCGGATCAGTGTTACCTTCCGTTCTCTTTCAGCTCCCACATGGGCGTCAGGTAGTAGCGCAGTGGGTTCTTCCACAGGTCGTCCTTCAGGATCTTCAGCCAAACACAGACAGAGACACGTGTCAGAGCAAGGGGGCAGACCAGACCGGGCCGGGCCAGCGGGGTCGGTCTGACCCGATCTCAACTGCCACAGCGTTGAGGCGCCGGTGCAGCGAGGGGGGGGGGCAGCCGTACCTCGGCGATCTCGTCGGCGCTGGGGCTGCTGTGGTCCGTGAACCAGCTGAAGAAGCTCTGGTACACCCGCTGGCTGCCCTGCCCCTTCGCCATCCCTCCGAGCGCCGCCAGGTTCCTGCCCCGGTGCCACAGGATGGGGTTAGACAAGGACGTCAAGGATCCTGCGGGACAGAGAGACGGAGAGCCGACGGCTGTGGGAGATACCGGGCCAGCATGGCCAGATCCACCCACAAGAGGAAGGGGAGTACCGTGTTAGACGGCACGGACAGACACCAGCTGCCAAGCGATTGAAGTGTGTTTTACAGCTCGTTTGAAATGAAGCCCGTAACCACACGAACCCTATAGGGCTATTCAGCAGAGGCGCCTAAGCAGGTTAGGAAAATGAATGAGAGATAGGTCCAGATAATGTGTGTGAAAGAGTTCTGCGATCTTCTGCAGACAGTGGTGCAATATTTTCAGTTTGCTTTTTCAAATGCCCCTAGATGTACGAAGCGTCGCTTCTCTGTGGAAGAAACTAATCTCCTTCCCTACTCCAAAAACTGACGGTCCAACTAAGCTTACCAGCTACTGGCCAGCTGATCTTATATCTCTCCCAGTGAAAAGCCTGGAGATCATTTTAAAGGAATACATTACAAAGAACACACAGGACCTTACTGATCCCCTGCTGTTTGCATACAGGGAAAGGAGAGGGGCAGACAATGCAATACTCACATTGTTATATCTGGTCTATCAGCATCTTGATCAAGCAAGGTCATTTGTAGGGATATTATTTGACTTCCCCTCTGCTTGTAACGTAATGCAACCAATGCTGCTTGTACAGAAACTCTCGGAGAACCTCAAACTAAACAGTTGCTTGATAAGACGGGTCCGAAACTTTTCAACGTATAGGACTCAACAGGTCTAACCAGGGAACTGGTTATCAGTTATCACTAGATATCACTAAGGTAGCATTAACACGCAAACCCCACTGGAGCAGGAGGAAAAGAGACAGAGCCAGCCATTACTGACCGACTCGGAGTCGGGACAGGCCGCAGAGCCGCTAGACCGAGGCTTCATGCATGGCTGCATGGTTGCAGGGCCATTAGACCATAAGACCACAGGGCCAGCCCAGGAAAACATCACGCGACAACTCAGCCTGTGAGTATTCAGTTCTCTCACTCCACGTGTGCGAGAGGCAAACCTCCCCACCAGCTGCTCTCTGACATCTTCAAAACTGCCCAGCATGCGCTCATGAGCCCGGTGCAACACCGACGAGGCTCTGGTCCTGTGACCCCTCTGTGCACGAGATCTCCTGGAGACCATGGCCTTACAGATAAGCTCCTGGTGTCACACAGGCTGTTACTACTGTGAGTCTGGGCATGTTGTACAACATTCTGCTGGCCTGGTCAGGGGGGGGGGTCTCACCTCCCTCCCCCACGTGGAACTCCTTGACGATGAAGTTATTCTGGAAGTAGGGGTTTCTGCTGAACTGGAAGCAGATCCTATAGCCCATCCTGCTGCTCTTGAAGCCGTCCACCTGGAGAGAGAAAGAGGGAGAGACAGGTGTTCACCTGGCGTTCAGTAAAAGTAACTGTCTGCATTGCGCGGCTCTCCAACGTCACAAGCCTCCTCCTGACCCTGGACACCGCTCTCCCACATCTCCGCGGCGCCTCAGCTGAGCTAAGAGGACTTTGAGATGAGCAACCGGGACACAGAGGAAAACGAGGGGGAGTTAAAATCAGCCGCGTTCAGGACTGAAAGCAAGCGGCTCGTC